TTACCCTTTGCTTTAGAGTTGAGGACATTGACTTTCACAGTGTGTTGTTAAATCAGGATCAGTAAGGGATGTTCTTGAAGCCCACTCTAAGGAATTTCTTCCTCAAGAGCCAATCACTCTCCTCTACACATTCTGCCCTTTCCTCCTCTCTACTACTTTTGTGGCTCCTTGAACTCAGGTGTTATGCCACCTTAATATCATAGTACCCTTAACAATTGTTCAGTGTCAGTAAAAATATTCTCAGTGAACTTTGCGTATATTCACTGAAAAATGGCATGAGGCGTAGAGAAAACAGGGTGAACCCGAAAGCCTGCCTAAGCTGGAGTGGCGCTCTTAGGGCTCCATCTCTTTGGCAAGTCAGGGGTTTGTAATGAGACTTTGAATGTGCTTCATTCACAGATAATGTTTCTTGGAGACATCCAACTTTGGGCTCTCTTTATTATAAAACTTATTGAAAAATTTCAAGACTATGCCTGGTCTTGTGACCTGGAGACAATTTTCAGAAAGCTGAGCTCCTAAGCTTCTCCCACTATACCTCTATGGATGTTTCGCTGTTCCAGTTGGAAACCTACAGAGCAGCTCTGGACATGTTTATCCTCCAATAATGTTCTCCTTTCTAGATGAGTCTTGAGTTTCTTTGCTGAGGTGGTAAACCTGGAAGCCAAACCCAGCCGGCTATGATGCACAACCACTAGAAAACAACCATTTACTTTAATACCCTCCTGCTCTGAAGAGGAAAACTAGGGACTCTAATTTGCCCGTGTCCATCATACCCATCAGATCCAGTCATAGATTTAAAAAGTCTACATTCCATGCTTGAAAGTGTATATAACTATGATTTTTCAAGATGCAAGAACTTTTCTTTTTTTCTTTCATTTATTTTGCTATAGTCATTGCAATTTTTCCAGTTTAAGTGAAGATTCTTCATTCAGAAAGATATGTCTAAGGATTGTCTTTTCTCTTTTAGGTTCGACCTTCATTTGAGTCCCCAGATGGTAAGGCACAGATGCCCACTGTTGAAAGGATGACTTTGACTAGATATTTCTACCTCTTCCCCGGGTGTTGAAATAAGTAAGCTGTATCAGTGTCTGCGGGCAGTTGTGTGTCTTTGGTAGGGTAAGAGGGAGAGGGTGAAAGCTAAAACTCCATTCTGGTCAAGGTCTAGTGTAATAAACAGGGGACACTGTCTGCTACTCAGTGCAGAGCACATTATTCTTTTCTCATAGCTCCAGAGAGTTGGGTGGCCCTGTATCAGGGTCAGCTGGTATTGATTGAGGAGGGATGGCCATAATGATACTCACTTTGGATTTTCTTGCCTTTCACTTCAACAGATATAGCATGGACTATTATACATATAACATGGATCGTTATGAGTCTGAATTGACTCAACAGCAATGGGTTCATTCCCTTTCACATGAGGCATTGGTGGTTCAATGGTAGAATTCTCACCTCTCACATGAGAGACCTGAGTTCAATTCCTGGTCAATGCACCTCGTGCGCAGCCACTACCTGTCCATCAGTGGAGGCTTGTGTGTTGCTGTGATGCTAAACAGGTTTCAGTGGACCTCCCAGACTAAGACAGACTAGGAATAACAGCCTGGTGACCTACTTCCAAAAATCAGCCAATGAAAACCCTATGGATCACAATGGAACAGTTGAGTGAGGGGATAGCGCAGAGCTGGACAGCTTTTTGTTCTATTGTGCGTAGTGTCGCCATGAGTCAGGGGCTGACTTGGAAGCAGCTAACAACAACAGCGATATCCCCTTTTACAAAAGTGTTGTTGTTAGATGCTGTGGAGTCAGTTCCGACTCATAGCAGTCCTATGTACAACAGAACAACACACTGACCGGTCCTGTGCCATTCTCACAATGATTGCTATGTTTGAGCCCATTGTTGCAGCCACTATGTCAATCCATCTCATTGAGGGTCTTCCTCTTTTTTTGCTGACCCTCTACTTTACCCAGCATGTTGTCTTTCTCCAGGGACTGATCCCTCCTTTACAAAAGCATATGTCCCCAAAGATGGAATGATCTTATAATTTTCATTATTTTAGTACAACAATTCTTCATGTATTTTCTTTCCTTTCTTTTTATTTTCTTTTTACGCCAGGAAGCCAAGAATTCTGTCATTCTGCGCCTGTTTTTGGAATCATGTCTGCAGAGCATGGACCTTTCTTTAAACATTCAAATAAATCTGAAATAAAAATGAGAATTTGTACTTTTGGGTTTTTTACCAGGCTGGGAGGACAGGAGTAGAGCAGGAAGGGGTTATTGACGTTGGAGTCTTTTGACTTGTTTCGTATGAGATAAACTCACTAATAACACCATTCTTTCAAAAAATCTTTTTCTGGACATTCTGCTTTAAAGATCGGAAGAGAGTCAGAGAAGATATTTGACGTCAAAGAATTTGGAGCTTGGCAGGAAAGATGTGTAGAAAACTGAGAGTTACAACCAAGTGTGATGGGTGACTAACCTGAATTCCCAGAGTTTACTACTGACAAAGCCATGACTACAACATATATATTTCTATCCTTTTTTTTCCTTTTTTAATTGTACTTCAGGTGAAGGTTTACAGAATAGTTTCTCATTAAACAGTCAGTACACATATTTTATGACATTGGTTACCAACCCCACGACATGTCAACCCTCTCCCTTCTCAACCTGTTTTTTTGCTGAAAAAATACATAGCCAAAGATACACCATCTATTTCAAAAATTTCTACGTGCACAGTTCAGTTACATCAATTACGTTCTTCAGTTGTACTGTTATTCTTACTTTAGATGAAGGTTTACAGAAGAAAATAGTTTCTTATTAAACAGTTAGTACACATGTTGCCCTATGACAATGGTTAACAACCCCACTACATGTCCACACTGTCCTTAGTCAACCTTGGGTTCCCTATCACCAGGTTTACTGTCCCCTTCTGCCTTCTAATCCTTGTCCCTGGACCACTGTGCCTCATTAGTCCCATTTTGTTATATGGGGTGGTACAATCCCCAGCTGAATGGTGAACCTTGGAAGTGACTTCACCACTGAGCTAGAAGGGGTCTGGGGGCCATAATCTTGGGGTTTCTCCAGTCATTTTTAGGCCAGTAAATCTGATCTTCTGTGTGTGTGTGTGTTAGAATTTTGTTCTACATCCTTCTCCAGCTCTGTCCAGAACCCTCTGTTGTGATCCTGTTCAGAGCAGTCAGTGGTGGTAGCCGGGCACCATCTAGCTGTACTGGACTCAGTCCGGTGAAGGCCTTGGTAGCTGTGGTCCGCCAGTCCTTTGGACTAATCTTTTCCTTGTATCCTGTTGTCTTCATTCTCCCTTACT